AAAAAAAAGTAATTCCTGTTTTCTTTCGTGGGAAGTTGGTGGTTTATTGTGGGGGGTGGGGGGGTTTCGATGCCCATTTTGTCGGTAAACCACTTTGTAAATAAAAATAAAACGTTAATCACAAATCATTTGCAGACCCTTCTGACAACCCAAGTTGGAGAACTTCTGGTAAAGTGACTGCCCATCTTGTTTTTGTTTCCGCAGCGCGGTGGGCGCCGGCAGCAGAGGGAACCAGTTCCTCATGTGGGTCATTCGCTCCTTCAAGTGCAGAGTGAAGGCAAAGCTCTTTCATGCTCAGACCAACCAGGAGACGGCCTTTTTTGACACCGCAAAGATAGGTAATGCAGAGAGTGTGGTACAAAAATAGTGCACAGCAAACAAGCGGTCATGTCTCTGACCCCCGCCAGTGTGATGTAGTGTCCCCTCCCACCCCAAAAAAATAAATGTATAATTTTTTTTCCGGGCGCAGGTGAACCCACCTCCTTGCTTTCCAAAGACATCCCCCTGATGGCTGAAACGGTTTGTCTGGACATCAACATTCTGCTGAGGACGCTCATCCAGACGGCGTACACACATGGTGAACCTCTCATGGATGCTAACATGTTTAGTGCTCTTGGAGGTCCCCATCACGGGCCTCATCCAGACCATCTCCAACAAACAGCACCAGGTAAAGCTGACAGACCAATCATGTCCATTGATTGTCGCTACTGTAGCTCCGCTCACTGTTCAGTCCAGTCAAACGGATGGATTTCGGTCATTCTAATGAGTTGGCTGGTCGAGTGATCTTCAAATAAAGCCACCCCAAATCGATGACTCGCCCAACCCCACGAATGATGCAACCTTGCGTTTGCAGCGGTTGACGCAGGCCACCATGACTCCATGTCCGCGGCAAACGAGACGGCTAATGAGATCATCTTGGCCGTTCGACGACGCCGAGCTTCAACGCTGAGAAACACGAGGCCCGTCACTATGACGACCGGCTGATGGACACGCACGGGGTCAAGACCCAGCGGGACACTGTCAGGATCATGTCCCTTCTGGGTAAGATGCTGGTCAAACTCTTTTGGCAACATTGGATTTGGGGCCCTCATTTTCTGCCAATAATAATAATAATAAGAAGAAGAACAAGAATAGTTTAGTGTGTGTTTTAGAAAAAATCCAGCCCGACCCGGCCCGAGCCCGACCAATTAACTTGATTTGCAGGCCCGAGCCCGAAGCAACACCGAAATTTCATATTTTATTTGTGAGCACTCGGAAGGAGGAGGGGTGATTGATGATAACTAATTGAAGCCTGTCTTTTGTCATGAAATCTAACTTAAACAAGACTGTATAAACATTTACATCTTTTATATTTCTGTTTCTGCAGCGGGTAAGTGAACCGACAATTTTCCATCAGTGATGGATTTTTTTCAGAGTTGACGGAAACATTTAAGGCCGTGCGTCATTTTGATGCGTTGAAAATTGGGCCATTAACCACAGCAGCGGTATGCCCTTACGAATCGAGCCCGGCACTTTAAGAGAGAAAAGCAGAGAGAAAAAGAAGAACAATGACGGGTGGATAATAGACAGAGACAGGAAGGAGTTCTTTTAATTATCATTGCATGAGTTTAGTACAGTACGTGTTGTGATGAGGCGACTTCTGTTTTTTTGCGAACCACGGTCTCTCGTGGCCAAAACTATTCACGGCCTTGAAACGCCTCAGCGCACTGTGATGTTTGGGTCGCAACATCACGGTGAGTTGTGACAAGATACTGATTTAATCACGGTGTTTCTTGCACATCATGGCCCAGGCGACAAGCTCTGACACTGACAGGGCATTGCGCAATCATCCAGACATCTACGGACAAGTTTCAACACTTTTCTTTATGAAAAATTTCATGGCCTGCAATTTTTACTTCAATTTGTATTTTTGGCAGAAGAAAACGCAAGATTTCTTCAGGTTAAAATAATCTACATTTTTGTATGACCATGATAAATGCATTTGCACAACGAAATAACGCTGAAACACAGAATATGAGGCCAGACAAAGAGACATATTGATGCGCATTTGCTTAATTACGTGGAGAAATACTGCAGCCCACTTGGCTTTAAATAGAATAATGCATGTCAAATAAATGAGAAACGATAAATGAAATTGTTATTTCTCTAGTTTTATTTCAACGAAATTTAACATCAAAGTTTCAATTTTCGTGATCTGTAATTTGGTCTGAAAATGGAAAATCTAATGAAATGATCGAAGATCAAGAACACAGAAATACAATAAATCTGCAAAAATAAACTAGATAAATAAATAAATAACAACATTCTTTATTTTAATGATTTGCATCGGAAGAGATAAAAAACAACCTGCTTGAAGAAGCATTGAAACAAAATAAATAGGAACATTTTCAGGAACACGCTTTTGGAAAAAAAAAAAATCACACTCGAGGCCCCTAGCGTAAGAACGGGCCTCCTGTCTTTTGTTTATCCTTCACTTCTTGCTCCTCCATATTGGGGATACCAGGTCAAAAAAGATGCGGACTTGCAGAGGGGAAGATTATAAAGAGGGCTCATGTTTAGTCGTTAAATAGCAATTATATGACAGCGCCTTTTCTGTTTTATACAAATTATTTATTTTTAAACAAAAAATTCCTTAGTTTAGTATCCGCACATCGTTTTAGTATTCATTTTTACAAACATATATTTATTAAAAAATAGTCAGCGAGAGAAAAGCCCGGCCCGACCCGACCCGAAGCAATGATTGACATTTTAGGCCGACCCGACCCGACCTCTGGCTTGGGCTTAAGATCTTACCTCTCGTGTGTTTGTGTGTGTGTAGCTGACAGGCAGGTCCCAGGCAACAACACCACCACCACCAACAACCGTCACCGGACCAGCCCCAGACGTCACACCCCGCAGAGACATCCATTGGGAGAGCACATTTGCCTCTTGCGAGTCCTTTCTCTGAAAGCGCACCCAATTCGGTCCGCCTGTGTCATTAGGACTTCTCCCTGGAGGTGCCAGCGGGTCAGACGACGGCGCTGGTCGGTGCGTCTGGAGAGGGAAAGAGCACCTGCGCCACTCTGCTGAAATGCTTGTATGAGCCGCAGGACGGAGAAATCCTGCTGGACCATGCCGAGCTGGGATCGTAAGACGGCTGCTATCTCAGCAAGAAGGTGAGAGCCCAAACCAAAGACGCCGTTTTCGTGGGATCACGGACCAGTGTGGCTGTAAACGTACGTTTGGGGATTTGGATTATTATTTAATTTATGTATTTATTTTTGATTGCAGTATGCTGCGAGTGAGCTTCCACACGTGAGGCGAGGGCAAACGTCATGCTCCAACATCGCATTTCCCAATCACGATCAAAACGACCGTCTCGCCGTGCTTTGACACAGATTGCGGTGGTCAGCCAAGAGCCGGTACTCTTCCGCGGTTCCGTCAGACACAATATCGCCGAAGGCTTGGAGGACTGCTCCCTGGACGCCATCCAGGAAGCGGCGCGGCAGGCCAACGCTCACGACTTCATCTCACGGCTGGAGAAGGGCTACGACACGGGTGAGCGCAAGCGGACTTCCTCCTTGTGTGCTGTCGCCGATTCGGAGACTTGGGACTTGCTTGGCCAAAACTCACCTCGGCGTTCCCGAGGCTCGACGTGAACTCCGTTGTTGCCAGTTCGTGTGGGCACAGGGCCTGCTTGATTTGGCTTGCGTCACTAAAACCGTGCAGGCCAGAACTTGAGACTTACTTTTGACCTGCGCGCTTCAACCTCTGCCGATGAGCGCGTCCGGGTGAGAAGAAGAGCGCCGCGCTGATGTGATTGTCTGTCAGAGGTCGGTGAGGGGGGCGGCCTGCTGTCCAAGAGCGAGCGGCAACGCGTGGCCATCGCCCGAGCGCTGGTCAGACGGCCGTGGGTCCTCATCCTGGACGAAGTCACCAGCTCCCTGGATGAGCCCAGCGAACGCAAGGTGCCAGTCCGACGGGGCTCGAATAGCGAGAGTTCTTGATCCGGGAACCTCGCAGCCCTCAGCTCCAGCTCAAACTCATCTTACGACGCTGAATGCAACCTCAACG